GTAGTAGTAGTAGTAGTAGTAGTAGTAGTAGTAGTAGTAGTAGTAGTAGTAGTTATCATCTAACTCTTAGCTGAATAATAATAATAATTTATGGTTTAGAATGTTATTTTCACGTCACAGTGCAATTTAAAAGTGAATCGACTCTTATGTATAGGCCCCTATGCTGGGGCCAAAGCAGCATAAAAACTAAAGATGATTGCTACGCGTACTTTTTTAAAGTTTAGGTTCACATTATTTATGCTTTCCGGGAATCTTTTCTGATGGCGGTACTAAGATCATCCCTGCTCCCGCCACATAGGGGCGGGGGGGGCATTGGTTGTTGTTGTTTTGTTGTTGTTGGGGGGGGGGGGTTTGGGGGGGGGTATCTTGGTTTTTTAGTTCTTGTTCTTTCTGTTGTTGTTTGGTTGGTTGCTGTTGTTTGTTGTTTTGTTTTTTTGACAATTCATAATTATAGCAAAGTGTTTAACAGTGGCATTAAAATTTATCCTCCCTCTCTCTCTGAACAGATGACGAAGAATAAGATCCAAAATTTCGATCCTAACATCTTCATCTTAACAAAGGTATGAAGTCATTTTCGACACAGTGTGTGTTGTCTTTTTTGTCGTTTAAATTTTCACTTTATAATAGATTTCCCTGACAGTGTGATGAGACTATTCTCTTTCTACGTTTTAGTGCGTTATTTACTTATAGCTTTGTATAGACATACTTTTCTGCCATTTATAGAAAAGTGGTATTTGTTATTTCTTATCCAATGGCTATAGAAATTAAATTGGAAACGAAAACAATACATATTGTTTGGTCATAATTTCTCATTTTCAGATAGTTCAGCATGTACAACAACGCCAGCTTTGTCAAGCAGTTAAAAGTATAACACATGTATTTTGAGAACACTTCAAACGACAAAAGATCTCGATTTTCTTATTCAGTACGTTCCAAAATGATACAAGCAAAATTTGTACGAGAAAAGTGGATTGTTCGACTCAACAGCGGATGATTTCAACTGAAAACGCTTTACTGCTTTTGTTAAATATTCAATTTCTGATAACTTTCTTCATGTCCACTCTATTGAATTCCCAAAACATTTGTTAACTCTTTCCCTGTCATTGGGCCAGGGGGAGGGGAGGTTCTGACCGGCATGTTATTGTTGTTTTTGCAAGTTATGTATTGTTTTCAATAATAATAGTAATAA